TTTTTATATATAAAAACTCACGGCGAGGGGGGGGGGGGGGCAAAGTATATTTTTTCATAATTGGAATAATTTGTTTAATCTATTTAAATAATTTATTTCATCTAGCATATTTCAGATTATTAGTTCCTCTTACTGCAAAAAGGGTATTTTTCTTTATTTTGACTCAATTACTCTGGAATGTAAAAAAGACTGGAGATGTTCACTCCTACATTCTAATATGTACAACTGATTCTGCCATTCATGTGGAAAGAACAATGTCAAGATGGTTTTTGTGCCCTAGAAGACATGAAGAAGGCGCCATAATGCCCAGACATCTTTAGCCTGCGTACAATTCCACACCAAAGCTCAGAATGGCTACAACTTTGCATTTGGAAGTTGGGCAGAAGCTTCTCCTGACTGGTGCTTTTCAAACTCAGCAGTAGAGACCATCAGCACCTTCCCCTGGAAAACAGCCTTCCTGATGGCCCTAACTAACCTCAGCCAGGAAGGGGAGAAAGGACCTACTCCACCAAGACAAGGTGGTACTAAGGCTGAGTTCTTGTTTTATGCCCAAGTTTAGTTCAAAATTTCATCCAGTGTAAGAGGTTATACTTCCAAATTTATGTCCAAACCCAAGAATGAATTTGGCATACATTAGATATGCACAAGGCACTAAGTATCTTTTTCAGCTGCATACTGGAGGAGAATAAATCCAATGGTTTATTTGGCTTCCACAAGGAGACATCCTGGGGAAAAGAACAGCATGATTTGCTATCCACCAGTGAGACAGCGAATGCATCACACTGGCCTATTCAGCCAGAATAAACTCTTTCCTTCCACCATCGCAGCCCATTCCCATCAGAGTGGGCTATTTTAGCAACTGTGTCAGGAGGAATACTAACTTGCCTCCGTAGATGCAACCTTCAAGCATTTGGTATGAAAAGATGCTTTAACTTTGGCTAAGCCCCCCTGAGAATATTACTGTAGGATATCACTTCCCTGTCAGTTCTGTCTTCAGGAACTGAGATTGGTAGTTGGACTTACTGTGAAGTTTTTATCTATCTATCTATCTATCTATCTATCTATCTACCTACCTACCTACCTACCTATCATATTTATATAGCCACCCATCTCACACAAGGTTCCTTCTGGTCACTAAAAAGATGGTCCCAATCACTTCCCCCAATAATAATGGACAGAAGCCAAGACTATACAGGAGAGTAAGGAATAATGCATCAGTTGCTTCCTTAACAGTAGTATTACTAAGACTGATTTATTCCAGGATGCAGGTTGACATATTTCATCTTATGCCAGTGGTAAATCTTTGTGTATTTACTTGATTAATGAGCATTATTTACTGAAATCAGTAGCATGGGGGAGGGGGGAGGTAAGGCAGGGTCAGAGTGATGTCAGCAGCATTGTGGCATTGTAGTACAAGTTTCATCCCTTTTTTTTTTTTAATGTCTATTGCAATGTTTCAAGTCCACCCAAAAGGGATAGAGGTTGTGCCCTCACCCCATTATACTCCTGCCATTCTGATTAAAAGAACAAGAGCTTGCAAACATCACTGGCTGAAGTCAAAGCATGTGGCTGAAGAGGAGAAGTTCCTCCAGGGGACAGCAGAAGACTAAGCCCTGTCTTCTGACTACAAGAGGTGGAATTAATTCTTTCCTGTTGGGTCCATCTTTGGTGACCACAATGATCTCCTGGTAAGTGGTGATACATAAGATTGCACTAATACTTGTTTAGTTTTGCTTCCCCACACACAGACTGCAGAATTGCACATTAGTAAAATACTGCTCAAAAATTAGTTGAACCCTGTCGATATTGAAGTATTTATTAATGGCCAAATGCAAATTGATAAGGCAGGGGGAAAAGAAATGAAAATGAAGAGAAAGAACTGCACATATTGCAAGTTCTGCTTTATTTTTAGATGGTTTTGTTTAATCTACAGTCATCAGCACTTTCCCCTATATTCTTATTCAACTTTTCCAGTATGGTACAATCTGCTTATTTCTATATTTTCAAGATGAAAGTATTATCAATAAATCAAAATTTGAAAATAAAGTACAGAGGATGCTGGGTTTTTAAATTAAAGCATAGACATTTCTCCTTACCCTTGCACCAAGACAAACCATTGGGAGGTTAAACCCACATGTATGTTTTAAGGTCAGTCTAAAGTATAAAGTGCAGCATATTTAAAAGCATGGTGGTAACTCTTCAAAATGATGGTGTAAGTTGCCAGCTGTGAACATGCTGGCTTGAAAATCAGCCTCAGCTGTGGTTTTTCCCCCCCTCAAGAGCTCTGATGGCACAAAGAACTTTGAACTGCTGTCTGTAGGCATTGATGATCATGCGGTACCCAATATTTTACTCTCTAATTATTAAATCAGCATCACATGTTAATTGTATAACTAGTCCAGTCATCGATTTAGAGTATTAGAGGATATATTTAAAAGAACCATGCTTCATTTCACCATAAGTTTTGAAGTACTGGCCTCTACAAATCCTTTTTTGGCATCAAGTTTGGAAGAATTCGGAGACTAGAAGCTTTGGTGATTCTGGAACAATGCTATCGAAATCTTTACATTGAGTATGACCTTCAGTACTTCCTAATATTCGAGTTCTTTACACAGGTTTTCTCAGTAATCTTCATATCATTCAAGAAACTAAGCCAATATTAAACATTTTCTACATGATGCAGATGTAGGTCAGGACTGAAGAGGATAATGGCATGGCTTGTTGAAAGCCACCAGGTAAATGGCTGATTAAAGCAAAATTTGCATCCAGGGGAGTTTAGTTGCCATAGTCTTAGCCACTAGGCTACACCAGATCTCATTCTCTATCTCTCTTGCTCACTGGCTTCTTTAAGCAGGGAAGTTTTCCATATTTCCAATGTACCATGTAACTAAATATCAAAATGAAAGTTTTAGACCTTAGAAATAAATCCATTATAGTTGTCCTCAAATAGAAAGCATAACAAAATGCAGTTTCAGCTGAACCAGATGTATCTTCTTCCTGGGTACTCCATTCTGTTCCCTTCTTGCAGACCATTAGGAGACCATCTTTGCTGAGCAAGTTTGGTTCAATTTAAGGTTTTCTGCCTCTTTGGTGGATGTGTTTTGTTTTAGGGTTTGTTTTGGGGTTTTTGGTCCTAGTTTTGGTGATCCTTTTTGCTTTACTTTATAAATCCACAGTGCTCACTCTCCCTCCCCCCTTTCTCTTCTTTGTGGATGATCTCATTTGGCCTAAATTAGAATTCACTATTTACGAGAGCCAGTTTGGTGTAGTGGTGAAGGTGGCGGCCTGGAAACTAGGAGACATGAGTTCTAGGCCTCCCTTAAGCATGAAAGCTGGCTGGGTGACTTTGGGCCAGTCACTCTCTCTCAGCCCAACCCACCTCACAGGGTTGTTGTCGTAGGAAAAGTAGGCAGGAGACTTAGATATGTTAGCCACCTTGAGTTGACCAATATATATTGGAACCTGAAATTGATGGAATGCTACTGAAAACATACAAGCACCTGACTTCATTTGAAGCCCTAGAGATGCTAAACAAAGGCTCACAACACTGGCTACCAGGCTAAGGAGATATACTAGAGAAGCAGAGGCCAAGAAGATAAATTCCCTGTTCTCCAAAGAACCATCCAAAGTGGACTCCCCACTGCAGCACAAAAAAAAAGA